TWWTTTTGCACTTTGGATCCTGCCTGCACTCTGGGTCATTCTGCAAAACCTCACAATTGTTTCATCAATTAAAATTAAAAATTTAATGAGTTGGTTAAATATCATATTCTGCAGGTTATATATAAAGCTAATAAAATGTGTTTCCTTTAAACATCCAATCTAATTTTGTTAAAAGGGAAAACTGTTATAATCTGAAGGGATTACAAATGTTTGTTAAACCAAAAATCTGAACAAATCTGAAGGACAGATGCACTTCAGTAAAAGATATAAAACTGTGGAATAATCTGGAAAATGATTATAAAATCATTGGATTAATTCCTTTAAAAAAAAGGATCAAAGCAAAATTGTTAAAGAAATAAGAAATTGTTAAATTTTTGTTAGAGTTGAATTTTTTGTTTTGTTTTTGGTTTATTACTGTTTAAAATTAATATTTTTTGTCAATAGGAGCAGATATAAGATTTTTTTCTTCTGCTGCCTTTTATTTTATTTTATTTGTATTATTTTGTTGTATGTTACGGAGCCCGTGAGGGGACACGTGGCAATTTTTTTCCTTTCGCGTTCCCACGCAATACTTTTGCGTTCCCACGCAATACCTTTGTGTTCCCACGCAATACCTTTGTGTTCCCACGCAATACCTTTGCGTTCCCACGCAATACCTTTGCGTTCCCACGCAATACCTTTGCGTTCCCTCTCAATACCTTTGCGTTACCTCACAATACTTTTGCGTTCCCACACAATATTGTTTTGCGTTCCCACACAAAAGATTGTTTTGTATATGAACTGAATTAAATCAGACTTTTATTTTGAAATATCCAGTTACCAAAACAGGATGTGTTGCCACAAGTTCGTGAAACTGACATTGATGTTGCGTGGCTGCACTGTGTTAAAATATCATCATATGACATCCTTCCATGTGTGGCTGTGTGATATATTCACTGTGAAGCTGAATTAAAGCAGTAGGCCAGCTCACTAATGGTGAACATGTGAGTTTGTTAATAAACCAACAGCACAACAGTGATAAAAAACTTTTGCAAGGTAACGCAAAAGAAAAAAAATCTCCCATGTCCCCTCGATGGCTCCGTAGTAATGTTTTGTTTTGTTTTTAAAATGAAATGTAAAAAAACTATTAATAAATTTATGAGCACAAATCACTGAGGATGTCAATTTTTTTTTCCTGTATCACTTCTTTTTTTTACTTTAAAATGTACAAAAAGAATGACCCCCCCCCAAAAAAAAGATTACATTTATTATTAATCTACTTAACTAGTCACAGTAAGAGCACAGTTACACAAAGTGGGAAGGGAGTGATGTAAGGAGTGTGTTGAGCTTGTTTAACAAAAGAAGACTGTCTTAAAGAAAAAAAGATGGTAGAAATAGTAGCTGAAAGCTAATGGTCTGGACTCACACAGGCCAGAGCAGCTGTAGAGTATTGATTGGCTGCTCGCTGCCTTTAGCCTCTGTCTGCGGCACGGTGAGCAGCTTGTAGTGTGCACTATTAAAGCCTGGAGGATGATGTTTAATGCTTCCTGTCTGCATCTTCGTCTGTCATCCTCTCTCAGCTCTAACTGGGAAAACACAGTGAATAAAAGCACTGAGGTGGTTAAAACATCAGCACCATTAGAAGAGAAGTGAAGATGTTTCAATTACACCCGACAGACAGGCTTTTCTGTCAGTCTGAGTTTTATTTGTTGATTCTTTCACGTTTGGTGTCCCACATGGCCCTGTTACAGGTCCTCTGTTTGTTTTGATTCTTGACAAACATCAAATTTAATTCAGCTAATATGTAATATGGACTCTATCTTCACCTTCAGATCCTTTAACGGGTTTGTTCATGACTTAGAGCTGCCTGATGGAGAACTGCACTCCTGACCAATGATTGTGGTCTAAAACCAGGAACTCCTGTAGTTCTTAGGTCTCACACTACTGAGAGGTCGCTGAGGTCAGGTGATGCTCCTGGACACAATCATTATTGGACACATTCAAAACCCATTGAAAACTAATTTTTATTCTTTAATGAATCAGACTGAGTTTTGTTTTTCTTGGTTTAGGTGGGTTTATGTCTGGCTGCTGCTTTCTGACTCTTTCTCACTGAAGGCAGAGACTGACAGTGGATCTGGCTGAAGCCACTGGTCCCCTGAGAGGCAGCTGCAGCTCTCTGCTGAATATAATTTCCTTATTATGGCTCAAACAGACCAGAGATGCTCTGCTGTGTGTGTCTGTGTGTGTGAGTGTGTGTGTTTCCCCTGTATTGCAGCAGTTTGAGCGCTCAGCAGATTTTCATTTTTTTTACAGCCTCGACCTGAAAAAAAGGACATTTGAAAGAGAATGCGTCAGCAGAATTCGTGTTATATCAGTTTGTTTCTGACAGAGAGATCTGTGTCTCTTTCAACACTTTAAGTCAAAAAACATGTTTTTAGTTGTCCTCGTTTCTCTTCTCCCTTCATGTTTTGCTCCTTTTTCTCTCAGCAGAAAATCTCATGGGCCAAAGCAGAAAAACGCCGTCAGAGTGGAGATGTTCAGAAAGAGGCCTCCTCCAGGTCAGCACCTCACATTCAACACATCCATTTTCTGCCTGTTAACCTATGCAGCAACGGGAGGGAATATTTAACTTTGCTGCACTCCTAGAAACTCCAACAAAATGTTTTTAAGGGTTAAAATAGTGGATTTTGCATGATATGTCCCCATTAAACCCAAGACACAGGAAGCTTTTCTAAGAATTAATATGTTTATATGGATGAGATTTCAGAACTCAGGAAAACACAAAAACCAAATCCAGTTAAAATTTCAGTGCCAGTAACTGTGACTGCATCTGTTTTCCATAGACTATAAAAGAAGCCTTGGTAAAGTTTTTAAAGCTTTTTACAGAACAATATTTTTACTAGGGGTGTCCAGCTGGTCAATTTGGTCTAGGAGTATGATTCTCGCTTGGGGTGCGACAGGTTCAAATCGGGTTCAAACCGGGTTCAAATCCCGGACAAGCCCCCAATTGTTTCGCGACCATTACTTTCCAGGCTCGCTTTCTCCTCTTAGATGAGAGAGTAGGGCGGTTACAAAGAAATTAAAATAAAAAGTAATATGATAAAAAGAAATGAAAACAAAACCTGGCACCTGACGGGTCTCAGTGAGGTGAGGACCATCGTGTGCCGATAAAACTTACAGAAAAGTTCTTCTCCAGATAAATGAAGAACTGCTGGGACATTGTTCTGTCCTAAACGTTACCCTAAGACTGCTTCATATTTTTGGAGGATGCTTTTGTTTTAGCGAGTCGCGCATCATGGCTCTCTTTTCTTTTCCCCATCCCTCTCTGTCAGGAGTGGAGCTCAGAGCTCACCCTGCGTTAGCAGCACCTGTTAGCAGGTAACTGCAGGTACAGGAAGTGACAGTGGCCAAAATACCTCAGAAACTCGCCCAAATAAGTGAACTCTGAGAGATTCAGCGTTTTATACTGGATGACTTTGGTTAATTCTGTGATTCCGTCTACGTTTCATTAGCAACATATAAACGGACGTGGAGCAGGAGAAGGTGGATTCTGATTGGCTGTTGTCGCGCACATTTCCGCCATGTTTCAAATAATCGCCCAGCCTTAGGAGAGGTGTTGACTAAACTATTTAACCTGGTATGTGACTGTGTGTAAGTTGGCAGTGAGATTTAGAAAAATACGCCTGACATCTTGGCTAGGACTCCAAATTGACCGGGACCGGCCCTGCAGCACAGCACGTTAAGGCACCTGTGTGGCTCCACCCACTGCGACCATCTTCTCCTGTTAAACAGGCGGGAAACCGTAGCTGCAGCACTTTGTAGCTCCAACACCAATATGGTGGTGATGCCCTCTATGATGTTTTAGACCCGAGGTGTCAACTACTTTCCTCTTTTTTTCTTGACCCGATCTGCTCTGCGGGATCCCAGCAGAGGCAGTTTCCACAGTAACACTGTGGCGATTACGTAATGCCCCCATCGGATAGTGTTTATGTTGTGGATGAAACCTAATGCAGCTTTAATTGATTGATGAAGCTGCAGAAAAAGGAGTCCCGGTGCTGATCGGCATTTGTGCAACATGCAGGCGAAGCTTTTGCACATTTTAGAAACTACTGCAGACATTTAATCAAACCTGAAAGAACCTGAAATATCCTCACTGACTGTGTATAAAAAAAGAAAAGAAAAAAGGACCTCAGCAGGCAGAGAGCTGCCTCTCTGAGCAGCCTGCCTCAGTGCTCAGAGAGGCAGACGCAGGGGAGACGTTAGGACCCGATGTCCTAAGATGTGACGGTCAGCGGTGAAAAACCAGGAAAATCCAACCCGTTTAAGATGACGGTGCTGAAAGACTTCCAGGAGCAATGGTTTCCACTCATTCTGCCTTTGCACAGAAAGAAAACCCAGTCTGTTGGAGGACGGTCGAAACACAGGTGGACAGGTATGAGTTCATGTAGCAGCGTGGTGTTCTGTTCATCACATTTCAGCTCTTTATGTGATTAAATATCTTTCTTCCTCATCAGTTTTCTCCAAGTTTCACCTCCATCCCACTGCATGTACACATAACGAGCTGTCAGCTTGTTTTGGACTTGTCTGTTAGCAAAATATCTCATCACCAAGTGGACAGAATTTAATGTAGTAAAGTAGTTATTGGCTGTGTTCATAAAACTCATTAAAACTGAGAGTCAGGTTGTTTAAAGATGGCTGCCACAGCCAGCTGCCAGAGGAAAACACTCAGGTAGTTCTAACTAAGTCAGTTTTACAGATATTTGTAAGGTTTGGTGTGGTAGTGGCTGAGCATCAACACATACTTTGACCATAACATAAATGACTCAATATGTATTGCTTAAAACAATGACAATAATTAGAGTCAACCTTGTTTGATTATTACACAAGGAGGTTCTATAGAACTGGAGTGTGATCGGCTGGAGAAGCTAACGCTAAACTGGCAAAACTCTGGATTTACCCATCACTGTACATGTTGACAACGGAGGAGAGAAAAGGACTGACGATGTAGAAATCATTAAAACTATTAATAATAATATTAATCCAATCCACTTTATTTTTATATGACTTTAATGTCGTAATATTATGACTTTATTTTTATATGACTTTAATGTCATAATACTGTATTATGACTTTATTCTCGTAACTTAAAATAAAAAAAAGTGTGGCCCTAACACTCCGTTGTAATTTTCTGCATTGCTGGTGCATTTCTGGATGTGTAAGCGACCTACAGAATGCCATAGCCAATAATGCACCCCCATACCAACAGTGAGAACAGGCTGGATGTTCCCTCTCCTCTTTAGTATGGAGGGCCTGGTTCCAAAACAAATGATAGTTTTACACTTTATTTATATTTTTCACAACCTTTTATCAGAACTGGTTGTATTTTGGCTCAGATTGATATGTGTTCACTCATTATTGTCTTTATTTTGGTGGAAATGTTACCCCTGTCTTACATTATTTTATAGATCTCTACAGCCTTGCTGTGCAGCCGGGTGTCGGTGTCAGAGCTTCTGATGACCTTGAAGTTGTCGGAGACATTAAACACTTACTGAGCAGTTTGCTAAAGATGCTCTTGCCCTCAGGCTAAGTTGGTGCGCTTGCACAGCGTGAACAGAGATGATCCTGACGTTAGAGGCTTGGAAAGGCTCGGTGCTTACCCAGCACAGGCGTTCTGCCATCCTCACAACTTTTACATGTTCAACAACTCTCCCAACATGATGACCTTCAGACACAACGAGCAAACAGAGACAACAGAATGTGAAGGAGTTTCAGTAGATTGAGTTTGATAAGCACCTGTTATCTGATGTTATGTGATTAGAATTTAGAGTAAAGAGCAACATAAACACTAGTGATGTTGTGGCAAATATTTTATGTGCCGGCTCCGGTTTATTGTTGATTTTATTGCTATATTTATGATTATTTTATTTGTGGTGCCAGCCAGGTCTCTCTCCTGACATTTAGGATGTTTTTGACCAGTATGTGTGGGATTTACTGTTCTTTTAAAATGGTTTGATTTAATTGGTTTATAACCAGTCACACAAGGACATGTGATTTAAATAAATATAAATACACACTCTTCAAAATATTGAATGATAAAAACAAAAAGATAGAACTCAAGACAACTGAAATAGTTTTTTTTCCTTCCAATATATTATATCCACAAAATTTGATAAACAAAAATTCACTTTCCCCACCCTACAAAATTCATACAAATAATTCAAACTTATAGTTCAGTTCAGTTGTTCAGTCCATAAGCTTTAGGCTTGAAAACTTGGCTTTTGCTCCAAAAACTTGATTCTTTAACTCCAGGGTTAGGGTTAGGGTTAGTAGACGTAGTGGACCTTTAACTCCACAGAAAAGATGGGCATTTTCTGTTCAGGCAAAACACTTCCACAACACATTTTAACTGCATAAAAAAGACAGTGGCAACAAATGGAGTCATAAGGAAACATTTAAAACAGAAGGTTTGCAGATGAAATGTTTCCTAAACAAAAAGCAGAATGAAATAAAGGCCTAGCATTCCTTGAAGAAAGGCACGTTTCTCACATTTCATGCCAGCGACTAAAAATCATCTTATACTGAGAAAAGACAGCTATTTTGTTTAAGCTATGAAAATACCATTCTGCAGAATCTTATCTAATACTGTGAGGTGTCACGTTGTGATTAACTCTCAGCTAACACAACAAATTTTAGCAGAATATCTGTCAAACTGACTGAGTTCGAGTCATTTTTTGTTGTTTTTTAAAGCAGGTTGGCTGTGGCAGCCGTCCTGTCGATGTGCAGAAAGTAATCAATACTTTCTGCAAGTTTAATTAAAATGTCTGCATTAAGTAACCAGTATCATCTACCTTTGCCTTTCAGAGGCAGGCAATAAAAATACAGGTTGCAGTTTCTTTAAAGCTGATTAAATTTACTGTGACACCACTGCTGTTGCTGTTCAACTGACCAGAACTGGACCACAACAAGTTTATTTTACTTCACAACAAAGCAGAGTGAAGCCGTTTGAGCCCCCCTGTGAGGTGGGCTGTGTTTGTTTGGAGTTCAGTAAGAAGAAATGTAGGTTTTGAGCTTCAGAGCTCTGCAGAAACACAGGAAACCACAGTGTCTTTGTTTGTGTGTGAGCCTGACGGGTTAATGTGTTGTGTTGTGTTGTGTTTTGGCCCTTCCTGTAGCGTCTCTCAGAGGCATGCTGTCATTGGTTCAGACCAACAGCTTTGACCTTTAAATGTACTGAATGTGAAGAAGTGTCAAAGAAAAGCAGCAGAGGATTAGTTCTGGTGATGAGAGTGGAGGGAAACTCCCACAGCACTGACATGAATGTACACACAAAAACACAAAAACTACAGTACAAATATAAAGTGCAGTGTCACAGAGGCTGTTTCAGGCTTACTTTTCTTTCTGGTCATTTTAAATGATGTTCAGTCAAATAGTTATCAATAGTTATTAACCTTTATTTTAACAGGTAAGTCAGTTGAGAACTAATTCTCATTTACAATGACGACCTGGTCAAGAGGCAGCAGCACAACACAAAATGTTAGAACAATGTTAAAACAAAGACACGACACAGACAGCACAATCAGACATACTGTAACTTATAAACCAGGAAAACAAAAAATAAAATGAAACTAGAAGCACTGGGAGAGTGCAAACCTCCACCAAGACCAGTTTCCTCCATCCTGTAAGAGTTAATGCACAAAGCAGAGATGAAACATTTTCTGAATAAGTTGTGACGTAGTGAACATTTAAGCAGCAGTATGATGGGATTTCTTCTGGTGGAGTCCAATGTGGAAAAAATAAAGTCAGACTGGTCACCTGACGTTTTTCATGGTCAAACTGGTGTGGGATTAAGCTCCTAAGTTTCCATCAGTCACATTTCACCATGTAAAACGTCTGTTTTATCTCCTTGTAMGAGTTTGTAATGGTTTGACTCTCTTTATAAAGTGCTTCCTGGCTCCCCCCGTCTCCAAACTTTGAGGCCCGGCAGCTCTCTGTTTACAAGCCTGGTAGAGACAAACTGTTTTGATTGGTTGTTTCACAAATGTGGTGTGTTTGAGGAAATGGGAAAAATAGGTTTCATGGTGCAGTCACATACTTCCTGGTCACAAAACGTTCTGTAAATGTGCATATTATGGTAAAAATTATTCATCATTAAATGTGGTTTTAACATTACTTTTATAAAGTTTGAAGTCCGTGCTGTCCAATCAGCTCACTGTTTTTTACAGAAGCCCTGTGAAAGCATCACAGCTTTGCCGATCTCAGAGTGTTAAAAGAAAAAAATTCCTGTATCCGCACCGTGATCCAGAACATCACCAAAATTTAAAGGTGTGTTCCTTGGCCCAGTACACACATGTGTTAAAAATGTCATGATAATCCGTCAACAAGTTTTTGATTAATGTTGTCCACGGACAGAATGACAGACATACACAAACGAAAACATTACCTCGCCCTTGGTGGAGGTAATAAAAAAGGAAACTAAAAGCATGTACAGTGATCTTTTACTACTGAGTATATCAAACTTTTAAATGAGGATAGTGAAATGAACGAGTCCAGTTTTAAGGTTCGTTGCAGATGGTTCCAGGCCGAACTGAAGGGAGCAGCGAACAAAGACGGTACGTGTTTTTGGTATGAGGAGATTGATGAGGTCACTACACTGTAGACTGTGATTTGGTTTGTGAACAGTGAGAAGTAAATATCTGATATTGATCATGGAGGAAAGACTTGTTTTATAATGTTTTTCAGACTTATTATTTTACATCATTATTTAGTTTCTCACTCTTAATGTAACCAAGGTTTCCACTGGGATTTGAACCCTGAACCCTTGATGTTCCCAAACAAAGTTGCTTGTTGCCATCTAGAGACCATCTTTAACATTTCTTAGCAGTTCATGTAAACCCTGCTTCACAAACCTTTACGTCGCAGTAAGTTTTGGTTTACACGATTATTCTCATTCAAAATGCTTTATTTTTTTATGTCAAATAATTGATTTTGTGTGTTTGTGTTTCTGCAGAGGAGGAGAGGAAGGTCAAAGCCAACGACAGGGAATACAACGAGAAGTTTCAGTATGCAGTAAGAATAAATAATATGTTGTAAATATATGTTTCAAAAAACAGAAAACAGTTGTGCAGAAAATAAAAATATAGTGGATTTTTAGTTAATTTGCTCTTTCCCCTCTTAGAGTAACTGCATCATGACATCAAAGTACAACATCCTCACCTTTCTGCCTGTCAACCTGTTTGAGCAGTTCCAGGAAGTAGCCAACACTTACTTCCTTTTCCTGCTCATCCTGCAGGTGAGGAGAGGACATGGGTCTCTGCACTTGTGCATTTATTTTAATTCATCATCAGCTCTGTTTAACCTGTGATACGTCCGGTTTACCACTTTCAAAATAAAAGCATTTCTTTTTATAAATACTGCTTGAAGTTGGTCAAGCAACAAATAGCCAATACTTCCTCTACAATATTTTATAGGTAGTGAGTTTTTGTATTTGTTATTTAAAATATAGTTAAATATTATTTTATTTCTTTTTAACGCTCTTAGTTTGAAGTTTAGCCTCTGAAGATGCTGCTTGCTACAGACTCAGTGTCTGACACAACCAGCACTGTTTAGGACGGCATAGTTTTTTTAAAATTTGGGATAAATGACATAAAGATGGAAGTTTTACACATCTGAAATTTTAGTGGACTTAAGATAAGCTGAACCTAATTTAGCAGAAGAAGAAAGTTTTTTACTTCTTCCCATTCCTTTTCAAATGTGTTAACATTGTTATCACTTTTTCTCATTTTTTGTTTTGTTTTGTTTGAAATATGAAATGCTAAAGGTGTATTTCAAACATGTGTTTGAAATACATGTTTGAAATAAACTAACTAAACCACTGAAAAGTTATTTTATCAGCTGGTTGACCTACATATCTGCTTCCTGATTAGATTATCTGAAGACTAAACTTGAAACATTGCTAAATAAAGAGGCAGAAACACAACTTAATCAACAATTAGGTTTGTGTAAATGTATTTCTTAGTGTTAAACTAATTTTAACCTCTGAAAATATAAATAAACACAGTAAGCGAGCTTCATTGATCGAAAAATTGTGTTCTTTTTGTAGAATGTAGGTTTTGAGGCCAGTAAACAAAATGTCAGCATTAATTTAACACTAAAAGTTGTCAAGAGAACATGTTTTTTTCTTTTTCATTTTAATTAAAAAAGAGAACATGATTTTTTCTTTTTTTCTTTTTTTTATTAAAAAAAAGAGAACATGTTTTGGTGGTAAACGTTGTTTCAAGTCTCCAGAATCTCCACTCAAAAAATAAATAATTAGTCATAAAGTTATTTGATGACAAGATATCTATAGACAGAGGAATCTATTCATTACAGGTTCTCAGTAGCTACAAAGAGAAGTCTTACCACTAAAATAAAAGTAAACTAAAATAAAACTAGTCACGCTCTGTATAAAATAGATGGATTACAATACTTTTATCATATATTGCTTAAAAACAACTTTAAAGTCTTGTTGCTAAACTGCATCAGGAAAAGATTATACACTTTGGTCACAAATGAAGTTTTTGTCGTGTTTTTCTTTTCCCAGTTGATACCTCAGATCTCCTCCCTCTCCTGGTTCACTACCATCGTGCCTTTGGCTCTGGTGCTGAGCATCACTGCAGTAAAAGATGCCACAGATGACTATGTGAGCGTGTTTTATGCTGCACACACTCAAACACATGAAGTCTAACTGTGTCTGGAACAAGACATGTAACACCTCACATGATCTTTGACTCCTGCAGTTTCGTCACAAGAGCGACAACCAGGTGAACAACCGTCAGTCTCAGGTCCTGATCCGAGGCTCGTGAGTACTTCACAGCTGAGCTGCACCACGTCCTGTTGCTTCTTCTGCTTCCTAATTTATCAGCTTGTATTTACAAGATGCCTCGGGTCAAAATATTGTTTGTTTCTGCAGGCTGCAGAATGAAAAGTGGATGAACGTAAGAGTGGGTGACATCATTAAACTGGAAAACAACCAGTTTGTTGCAGTAAGTGCACAAAAAAACCTGTAAGCAGGAGTCAAACGATGCTGTAAATAAAAAATTATAAATATTTCAACCCAGTTTGCATTTCCTTAGAGCAAGCTGTAAAAATAAATCTATTTAAACACTGATTTATATGGAGCCCATCCAGTGATATGGTATAAAAAAAGTGTGGCCACGAGATATTAACTTGTTGCTGCAGCACAGAGCTTTGCTGCTTGGGCCTAATAATAATAATAATAATAATAATAATAATAATAATAATAATAAGTGTGGGGTAGCTTTCAACAGTTAAACAGTAAAACTCTAACAATGTCCGTATCTCTCACAATAAGACTTGGCTGCTCACAGTTATCTTGTGGCCATGAGTTAGTTAATGTGTGGCCACTAGTTATTTGGTTTAACTAATGCATGGCCAAGAGTTATTATCTTGTGGACACGTACTGTATATATATATATATTTTTAATCCAGTGTCACTGGATGTGCTCTGTATATTCAACATTCACTCTGGATATTTTTTTTTGCATGATTTGCAGTATTTGGCATTCATATATTAAAACATCTTGTCTTTATATTTTTATGCAGTTCACCAAGTTTTATATTTATTTTTGTTTTTTTAGTTATTTACTATTTAATGTGCTCACTTTGTTGTTTTTAAATGTGCGATTTAAACACATTTGATTTGGTTTATTGGAAGGACTTCAGATCTTCTTAATTCCTTCAATAATATAAGTCTCTTTGAAATCTGCTTCAGCATACTAGCTTTATTTTTGTTTTCTTATAGGGTTCCTGTGGGTCCTTAAGTTTTAAAAGACATTGAATTCAATCCAAAATTAAGGCCTTAATTAGCCTTAAAATGTCTTAAATCAATCTTTCAGAAATCGTAAAAATGTTAACACATTGTAAATAGGATGATTGTAATTTGTCTCAAATATTAAAATAATTGGTAACATTTTTCTAAACTCACATGCAGACAATCCTCTTTGACATCACTTCCTGTTATTTCACATGTAAATATCTCAACAACCGTCCATCTGAGCAACCTGAAATTCATTTCATAATTTATTAATAATGTTGTCTTTTCAAAATGTATTCACATTTCGTACAAAAAAGTTGATGTCACAGGCATTTAAAGGTTTCATCTACAGCAAATAGGGGTTGAGAATGAATGAATGAATGATTTTATTTGTTTGGGACAGTGTGCAATTAAACTATAATTTGATGGATTGCACCAGATTTAGCCTAAGGCTAATTTACATCTGTGGTCCCATCAAACAGTAAAAACAAAACAACATCCAACAGGAAAATAGAAATAAAAGAGGAAAAAAAAAACATTTGCTTTTAAAAAATACATAAAACACCCCACCCCACTCGCCAAACATAAGATCATGCCCACTTCCACTCCACCACTGTGGGTCATAAAACTCCAAATTTTGGGTTGTTAGAGAATTTCCAGAAATTAAATTAAGTTTAAACACTGACTGCTAAAAATGTTTCTGCTATATTTGACAAAAAAGCAGTTAGATATGGTTTAAAACAATTGGTCTATTAGGAATATTTGCATACTTCAACCAAAAATACTTTGATTCATGAGTTTCTGCCAGTTTTTATTTTTTATTTTTGTCCTTTGTGTTTATTGTGAAATTTGTCTTAAATTTAATTTCATTTGGCATTAAAAACTCTTAAAAAGTCTTAAATTTAACTTGTCTTAAACTGTAGAAACCCTGTCTTAGCATCTAGCTAGTGTTTTGATAAATTAAGCTCATAGCTAACATTTCGGTTGTAGTTGTTTGCTCCTTTTAGCTTCTTGCTACTTTTTAATTACTTATACATTTGAGCTAGTTTTGCTACATTTTGTGTTTAGTTAGCCCTTTGCTACTTTTAATTTTTAACTTGCATTTTTGTTGTTTTTGCTTTAGCTAGTATTCTACTTCTTTAGTTTTAAGAAATCAGTTTAGTTTCTTCAGCAGTCGTTCAACATTCTCTAGTTCAGACGTTCTTAACCTTTTTGACCTCGGGGCCCAATTTGTTGAACATAAAGTAGAAATGCGCGATATAAACGATATACGGTAGAAACGATATAAATTTGTGCTATGATAGAGACCTGTAGTCTACCTGCCAACCGCACAATTCTTTTTGATGATGACCGACCACACTGCCTGCTGTGGGAGGAGCGCGCGCCGCGGCATGTGTGAAGGGCTCGACACACGGGAGGCAACGTGGCTCGTTCTCCATTCATTTCCACGCAGCAAGGCGACTGTCAGTGCAGGTGAAGTCAGTGCTCAGGTGGGACGCACAAAAATCAGTCTGGACCTCGTTTCTCCTGCGGTCATAGCGCGACSACGCACGGCCGAATGCATGCGCACTCCAAAGCGCGACTATAATGATTGTCAACCCGCCGGAGCGCGCACAGTTTAAAGAGGTGGAGTGCAGAAAAAATAATCTGCAAAGTGTGTAGAAAGGAATAAATACAAACAATTTGTTTTACCACCTTAAAACAAAGCAGGTGATTCCAAACACAACATCCAATGGATGCAGATATCTATTACATTAAAGTTATTGTGTGTGTGTGTGTGTGTGAAACACTATATATATATATATATATATGATTTAACCAGGTATCTCCCTTAAATTTAGATTTTTATGGGAGACTTTAAAGTGTCCTTTAAAAATTGAGATTTTAAGGTCTAAATTTTTTTACCTATACATATTTATTCCACTCAATTAATGTGTGATTTATTTATTTTCTGTTATAAGTTTTATATCGTGATATATATCGTTACCGCCACTCATCATAATGTACATCGTGATATGAATTTTTTGCCATATCGCACCTTCCTAACATAAATTGGCACGAGGCCCAGTCAGACATTACCATACGGATCAAAATGATAATTATTATAAATCTTGGTTTGATTTTTATTGTATTCACATTATAACTAAATTAAATACACTTACAGTTTAAAAGTAAAACTCCTGTCAAATAATCACAAGACATGATTATGACAAACATTTTTATATTGTAACCTGCCCATAACAATTATTTGAACAAATACAAAGGTCAGTCAACAGACCACTCAGGCTTATCAGCACACACACACACACACACACACACACACACACACACACACACACACACACACACAC